TTCCGCGAGGCCGCCTGCTTTGAAGTTGTGTTCGGTGCTCAGCTTCTTTTCAGACACCCTAGTGAACGAAACCACCCGACACAGCTGGAACGACGCCTGTCGTTTCTCGCTCAGTTCCCCGCACTGACAATCACCACTGCGCATGAGCTCGCTGGCGCGGGAGCCCTGCTCTCAAAGTTGCCGGCGAATAACCTGATATCTCTACTTCGGATCGGGGAAGCGCGTCAGCTGGAAAAGAACCAGATACGCCGACTCGGCGCCGTGTGTGCACGTTTGCATGAAGTAGGTTCGGCGTTTCGGGCATCGGGCACGGACGCAGACGGCGGGGAGCGCGCTGCGTTCTGTGAGTGGGATGGAAGGAGTCTCGCAGTTCATGTTACGGTAAGCAATGGACAGTTGAATTGGTTTGATAACTCGCCCTTTGCCTTCTTTTTGGATTCCACAGCGCAGGGGAGAGTGTCTTTGACAGAATCGAGGTGCCGCTGCTCTCGCAAGAGTATCCATCTAGCCGACAGGCGCTGTTTCCATCGACGTCCGCAGGTAAGTAGCATTGAACAAAGCTGTGTCCACACTCAAAGCGCTTCCCAGGATCTCTCATTGTGCGTTTGTGGCTCCGAGGGTGAACGGCATGCTTTGACCTCCCGTCCCGAAATCATATAACTCAGCCCTCCAACGCCGCTCCCAGCATCTAACCTCGAATTTTCCCTCACTGTGGCCGGCCCATACAACGCTCCTTCATCATGCCTGCCTCTCGTACCTTCTCACACAACTCTTCCTCAAACAATCGTCCTACCAACCAGGCGGTGAGTCGCGGCCGCATGTTGTTCTTGGATGACGTTGATGTGTTTGAACCCGCCAGGCGGTTCCACAGGGCCCCGCCCCAGACCGACGCCACGCTGGCCGCAATGCGGTCGACGATGGGACATCCACTGAGGTATGTCGCGGTGGCACCATGGCCCTTTCATGATCATGACTCTGAATGTTTCCCAGAGACGAAATGCCGATGCTCAGCGTAATGCGGTCAACGGGGCTGTCCGTCCGACGTTGCTGCCCTCTGTGAGGTCACTTCTGCAGGAGGCCCCTGCGCCTCCGGCCACACACGGTGTGCCCGTGTTGCCCGTCTGCTTGCCCGTATGTCCGCTGCTGTTGTACCCCGCTAAGTAATGCTCATCGATATCTAGGCTCTCCACCCCGATGCTCCTTCCCTCCGGTCCGACCATTACTACAGAGCTCTGGGGCTCCTAGAGCTTGGGTCGGGTAACTACCTCCCTACGCCGCCGCCCAGCCACTGTGCGGAATGCACCATGGACAGGTACATCTCGCATCTCTACCAGCAGAAACCCGACCGTGGCTGCCGCCCTGTGGTGCCCGACAGCGGATTTCACGGCGTCAAAGGCGAGGCCTTCGTCCTATTTTCGTACGAAGCCGAACGAGGCTGCCGGCCTCGCCCTGGCGTCTTCTTGCCCGACATACTTGGTTTCCGAGCCAACATCGCGCAGGCCGGCCAGAAGCTCATTCGAACAGGCGTCCCAGGGCCGATGCTGATATCCTTCGAGGTTTGTTTTCTTCGATTGACCTCGTCTTCGAGGGGTCACTGATTTATTGTCGTTCAGATCGAAGGCCTTGGCAAGGTCCAGGATATAATCTATGCCAATTGCATGCACCGCCCGATCATGCATTTCAACCTTGCGTTTGCGCTGTCGTACGCATTTTTCAGGCTTGCGAGATTCACGTATTCCGTGGACCCCGAAAAGTTGGCACTTACGAGCTTGATCTCTATGAAGAACTGTACCGAATGGGTCGCTACTGCGCGCTTGGTCGACCGGATTGACTGATAGAATTGTACTCGTTTCCCATCCTCTATTGCTAGATATCTCTCTTTACTGTAGATCTCAAATAATTAATTTCTGCAATTTTGTTCTTAGACCGCATCACACCAGTCTGCCCGTGGGGTCCCAATCTTGTAGTTTGGGCACAATATGTATACTTCTCGCAACCAACAATGAAATAAATGCGGTTATCCCCGGGACCGTCGAATAAGCACGGCGTCAAGCGAGGAGCACGAGAGCAATACGGACGCGGGGTGTGAGACTGCAAGAGACTGCAAGAACACAACGCACTAGGTGAGCGCAACGATACGGCCGGGACGTGGCTCCGACATGACCCATCGTTGTTCCGAGTCCAATGGACAAACTCCAATGACCGAAACAACATAAAGCCAAAAAAACCAAACACTGAAGGGAACGAACGCCTCGCAACCACGAATGAAGTCGAATAAACGGAGCATGGGACCCGCAAAACGGACGCGACATCCGCGCGAGACATACCGTGCACTCTGCCAGGACCACCATGCACGAGGTGAGTGCAACGATACGGGCTCGGCGTGACGTGACGCGCACGACGCGCGTCCTCGCGACATGTATCATCCCAAGGAGACGCGCTCCACAAGAAGAATGCGCCGACGCGCGACAACACCTCGCCGCCATTGATTCCGAATCTCCAACGCACAAACTTGAACGAAACGAAAGGAAGCCAAAAATATTGAACTTCAGGGAACGAAAGCATCCCTTCAACATGCCAATCGCACCCATAGGGCCGCAGCAGGAACGAGCGAACGCAAGCGAGGGAGCGAATAAATCAAGGAACGAGACCGAAATCCAAAGTAAACCCGCAGCTCCAATGCGGCCTGCTGCCAAAACAATGAAAAGATCCGAAGCACGGACGGAGAGGCCAGATAAAGCCTACAGAGAAAGCAAACGAAACCCGCCGTCCTCCGCCGAGGACGAGCGCGATTGGTCCGGAAAATCGACAGCCCAGAGGAATCGAAAACGCGCACGGCAGAGCAATTAGAAAAAGGAAAAGAAGACCGCGCACCAAAGGTGATTCCTGCCATGACCTCCCGCGGTGCGTCCTCCGTGGGGCGGCTTTCCCTCTCCCGGCGCGCTTGATGTTTGGCCGGCTGAAGTCTGTTCGACATTCAGCAATTGAAGACTGGATTAAGGCTGGATAAAAATATGAGTATATTAGAATATAATCCATTATAATCCTAAAGTTATGATTAAATATCGGCCGGGCATAATTTTAGGCTCTGAGATTATCAGCCATTACATTATGTTACAGTATGATTATATTACGATATGGCCGCCGTATTTAATCATAATATTAAGGCCCATCTAGGGCGATTTTATCGAGAATTCTGTGCCATATAATGGTTTATGTTCCTTCCAGTGCAACAGAATAAGTTGATACACTGAAACGATGCTAACAGACTTATGACAAGCCAATTTCAGCCCATGTTTGATATTGTTTAGCCCCCAAATTTTGGGTGAACTTGACATATGAACATTCAAAATCATGGGAATATGTTGAACCTTGAATGAAAATTGGTTTTGAATGTGTCTATGTAGCACCCATCTCGACTCAACCAACATTCAGATTTGAAAGCATTGTGGGCCCATGCAAACCAAAATGTGTGATGGTGCCAAGCTGAGGTGACAGCAAGGTTGAAAGAGCATACTTATGTTATCAAACCAGAAACAATGGCTCTAGGGAGCTTTTCGAATAACTTGAAGGTGGGAAGCCAGAGAAAAATTCAGATAGCAGAAAATTTAGATTAAATACAATTAAATACGATTAAATTAAGATTATAATACATTACGATACCCTTATGATTAAGTATAGGCTCAAACCTTAAGATTATATTATGATTACAGTACATTATGGCCGGAGGGTGTATTTAATCATAATGTTCCAGCCTTAGACTGGATTGTTTTCAGAAGGGAACGGGCTTGCGCACCTTCAAAGTAGGTATCGGGAAAGAAGCGCAGGATTGAAAGTATACCTAGGTGGGGGTAGGCACGCAGAAAGCGGTGTGGAGCGCAACAGAACAAAGACGCCTAGCGGGGGAAAGAGATGATTCCTGTAACAAGGGCACCACAGAGGAAGAGGAGGAGGAGTCGGCGATTGTGGAAACATCGAGTAGAAAAGTACCGAATTGGAACGGGGCTGGCGTGTTGTCGGGTTTCCGGTATTGCTAGCGCAGTAGCACGCGCTGCAGGCTGCTAGTGGTAGGCACGAAGATCGGTGTGGGAGCGGCAGTGCCGTAGAGGCCCAGTTGCAGAAGGAGAGGACGGTGGAGGTGATAGCCGCGGTTTGGAGGGCGTTGAGGCAGCTGTCACCGCTGCAGATACCGTATTCCCTGATGTCAATTCGTCGTCTAGCTAGATTTAAAGATTTGAGGACAACGATTCTGCAATGCCTTGACAATGCGGTGACGGAAACGAAAGAAATACTAAAGAGCATGTATGAGGCGTAGCAGCATCACCGCGGCCGCCTGCCATATTGCGTACTCCAGTCCCCCACCGAACCAGCACCCCGCCACCTCAGCGTCGCCGTTCGAAGTGTCGCCGCCTCGAGGAGTGCACACACACCCTGGCTAAAGAGAACCGCGTCGTGTCGGTCTGGAACGCCGTCCGTGCGAGGGCGATCTGGTTCACGAAGATGTGGTCGAAGCCGGCGGATGGCAGGGTCCAGAGGGAGGAACAAGAGCGGGCGTCGTCAACGGCGTCACAGTCGGCGGGCTCGTCGGTGATGCGGGCTGGTGGGTCGTCATTGAGCGAGACGATGTTCGTCGCAATTGATCTTACGACATTGATCCGGCGTTCAAACCCACACGTGCCGCGCCGTTCCACGCTGAAAAAGGTCGTCCAGCTAACGATAATACCGCCGGTGGGATTCGAACCCACTCTGACTCGCACTTCGAGAAAGAATGCTACACGAGGAGCATGACCACCCTAGGTCCACAACAGCTTGAATTTGATGGACATTAGATATTGAACCGTGTGAATGTTAATTTCGATCAAACTCGCCGACTTCTTCCTGTCGGGAATCGATAGAACCCACTTCCTGCTCTGTAGAATTTAGCAAGATACTTGTGTGCACAATGGCTTCATGAGTACAAAATCGATGCAAGAAAAAAATATTCTCACAATGAATGATAGTACCACTGGCGGGGCTTGAACCCACTTTTTGCTCAGACGCATCCAACATCATGGTATATGATTGGAGCACGATCTACCAATAATCCACAGTGGCTTGAATACTGTAAGTACGAAGGAAGTAATATCCAAACCACATCGTCTCCAAATTCAAATTCAAAATTCTCAATCCAACCTATCTCTCAGATCCCTCGTTCATAAACTTGGTGTCTACTTACTACCATGAAAAAAGCTGAGAACAGAATGCGAGAATGCCGCCGGTGGGATTCGAACCTACTTATTGCACTGTAGATTGACACCATAGCAGCTCATATGAGGAGCACGACCTCGTTGGGTCCATAGCAGCTTGAAATTGGACAGTCTTGCAATGATATCATTAAAACGTTCGAATTCATGGTTAATTTCAATCAACCTCCCATCAAGTACAAGTTGTGTACAATGCACACAACCCACTTGTTACCCCGTTCTGTGAAATAGAACAAGATACTTCTGTGTACAGCATCCATCAGTCTTTTGACATCTAACTTGTGACCTTGTACAAGGTCGAAAAAGGCCGAAAAAGGCCCGAAAAGGCGACAAGTTCACAAGGTCACAACCCTATGTCCGAAAATCACAAGCTTGGAATTTCAGCTAAAAATAAACCTACTTTTCAGCGGGCCCTGGGGCATTCAACATATGGGTGAGTGTGCAAAGTAATTTACAGAGGTCAGGTATGCAAACCAAGGTTAATGCTGCATTTTATGAGGGGTTTTCCTTCTCACTTGTGGGCTTGTTTGACCTTGTCAACTTGTCGCTTATCGTTGCCAAGCCCACAAGCCGTAACAAGCTGCAAGCAAAATGTCAAGTTACTGATGTCTTTATGGTACCACAAAATCGAAAATAAAAATGTTCGACAGACACCGCTTGACATGCACCACAGGCAGGATTCGAACCCACTCCTTACTCAGATCAAGAATGGGATGTTCAAGATTAGAGCACGATCTACCAATGATCCACAGCAGCTTGAATACTATAGATATTCATAAGAAATTATTCAAACCACATCGCCTCCAAATTCAAATTCAAAATTCTCAATCCAACTTATCTCTCAGATCTCTCGTTCGTAAGCTTGGCTCCTACTCACTTCACTACTATGGACGGCCCAGAACCCCTAGTTGATATTCGAACTCAACTTCCTCGAAGAATCATGCCGGCATTCACACATCCAAAAAAAAATACTACACTGTAGCATAACACCACTGGTGGGATTCGAACCCACTCTTGCTTGCTCTCACTGTAACTTCATACTACGCCATAGAGATATGAGGAGCACGAACTCCCTGGTTCACAGTGGCTCATAATTGAATGATATTCAACTGACTGAGTGTGTACTACTTTCAGTTTATATGTGAGAGTTCAATAAGCATCGAACCATGATCGACTAATCAGCCGTGGCAGTTAAACGGCCCTGGGACATTTGATCTTGTATTCGGACTGCAGATACTTACTTACTTCCCCAAAAAAACTGCAAAGTTTGTACATCCATACCACCGGTGGGATTCGAACCCACTACTTGCTCTGATTGTTAACGAGGTAGAACAATTGGAGCATGATCCCCATGGATCCACAGTGGCTTGTATATATTATCAGGTCAAGCTCAGTACTGAGGTTTGACTTGATTGACATTCCCGTGTCTCCCTCCCCGGACATTGAATCCAACCATCTTGGAAGGAAGTAAGTATCAACATTTTCTTCATCTAAATTCAGAGCTATCACAATTAAAAGAAAAGCCCAATCCCCAAGCACACCGCCGGCAGGACTCGAACCCACTCCTCGCTCAGATCATGGCCTTTTAATTGATTATGAGTAGAGCACGATTAACCGACGATCCACAGCGGCTTTGTCATAAGTACAAAATCACCCGGCAAAGGCTTTCAGAATTATAATAATATTAATCTGCAAATCGAACATCGAACTGTCGCTCGCTCAAGCTAAGACATCCGCTCGACCGGGATCTCCAGCGAAAATTCAACCTTTTCCAGGCTCCTTGAAATCTGCCGGTTTCGGGTTCAACATTCAAAAGAAAAAAGGTATTGCGCAATCTGCCATGCCGCTGGTAGGAATCGAACCCACTTCCTGCTCTGCATTTCGCCGACAAGCTCAAATTACAACTCGAGCATGATCCCCATGGATCCACAGTGGCTTGTATAGCACAGGGTTGAAGTTGGACTCGATTGACATCCCCGTATCCATCTCCTGAGGCATTTTGAGCCATTGAATTCAAGGAAAGGTATATCCGCACCTACTTAGTCCTTTGAGTTTCCGTATTCTTCTAGATCTGATTGAAAGAACAGCCCCCAAAACTGAAAACATCCTCTGCACTCCGTTAGCAAGATACGGGCGCGGCGATATGCGTACGGGACGTGACGCCGATGCGCAAGACCATACGCTCAAAGAGACACGCTCCCCGCGGAAGAATGCGCCGAGGTGCGACACAGCTCGCGCGCCCAACGAACGAAAGCAAGAATCCAAAGCGAACGGATAGACGAACAAAATCCAATTTTGAGTATCGTATGTATTGCATTCGAGTTCCGTATATATGGTATTCGAGCCGAGTCGCTTTACTTGCAGCGAAGACGCGGAACCCAATCCACAATAGCAGGTGTCCCAAAAGAAACACCAGAAGAGAAACAAAACAAAACAAAAAAAGGGAACGAAACGGAAAGAAACGAAACGAAACGAAAGAAGGACAGGATAAGAAAGGAACGCGACTCACTGAACCTTCTTCGGGAGGAGTGAGAACGAAACACGAGGTTGAAGAGGCTGAATCCTAGAGTAGGACCGGTATTCGCGTTCGCTGGAGTGGGAGAGGAGTTCGGAGGAGGAGGGTAGGAATGAGAGAGGAGAGGAGGGTCGAGCGGCGAATGTCATGTCATGATGAAGAAGGACGAACGTGGAATGACGATTGCCGAACGACGAAGGACGAATGAGAGAAAAAAAGGACGAAAAGAAAAGGAAGAATGAAAGGAACGAGCGGAAGGAAAGAACGGAAGCAAAGAATTAAAGGATGAAAGAAAGAGCGCGACCGACGCGCTCCCGCAATCCGCACGGTCCCAAACGCGCCTCTCATTACTGGGCTTGACACTCCCGATCATCTGGCGCAAGCGGTGGACGACTTGATTTATCATCTAGGCAGAAGCGTGGAGCTCCGCGTATGCGATATACTCCAAACCGAATCGCGCATCCTCCAACGAGAGATGAGAAGGGAAAGAAACGCGGCGCGAGGTGCGACGTCCGAAAACGCGTGGGCAGAGCCAGCACGGGCCGATGCCGTTGCACCACCCGACATCGATGTCGATGTAACACCTAACACAGCCGTCGACGCACCGAGCGGCCAAGAAACCCGCACACAGACACAGACGGTCAACTGCGACTGGACTCGAGACACCACGCTGCGTGTGCGCGCCGATCGAACGAGCTAGGGAGATAGACGGACAGACACGCCACCCGTCACACGGCTGAAACGCCGATGTCGAATGGATAAAAGGAAAAGAAAGAAGGAAGAAAGGAAAAAGAAGTGTTGATTGGATAGAAGGAAAGAAAGGAAAGAAAAAAAAACAAGGCAAGAAAAGGAAGGAAGAAAGGAGAGAAGAAAGAAAGCAAAGAAAGATAGACGGAACACAAATGCGAATGGGAATGGGAATGCGACGTGAAGCTAAGGGGACGTCTTCAACGGGCGCCACGGTGCGGACGGTGCGGCGCCTACCCAACAGAGCGTGGCACGATGCGCCGGCGTAGCTCGTCCCGAGCCTCGAGCGTCGTCCGGCCTAGAAACACGGAGCGGAACTGCGCGGTGCACAAGGGCGTACGGCGCCGAACACGCCGCGCGTGCGTGCGGGGTAGCGCGCCGGCAATGTCCAGCCGAACGACCACCATATCCGCGAGAGCCCCACCCCCCAAAAAGACAAGACAAAAAGAAAGCAGGAAAGGAAGGGAAGAACGGCACATACCAAACGCAGTCCCACCCACAACCATCTCCTCGACCGGGCCCTCCGCGAACCAAAAAAAGGCGGGAAAGGGAAGAAACGCACCTAACGCAGTCCCCGCGCCAATCATCTCCTCGACGGGCCCTCCGCGGGGCGCGCCGTCTCGTGTTCGGTGACGGAGGCTTCCGCCTGAGGGCAAGTTAGGTGAGTTGGATGAGAGGGATGGAATAGAGAGAAGAAGGAAAGATAGAAGGAAAGAACGAAAAAAAAAGATAGAAAGGAAAGTGCAGGCGCGGCGGATGTGCGACGTCCGAAAACGTGGGAGGACGAAACGAGCGAGCAAACTAGGTAGGCTCAGGCACGCATGTCCGATACGGCACTGGCGCGATACACCGGGCGCAACGAAGTGTCGCGCGCGGTTAACCGCGATGGACGCAAGCGTTTGACGCGATGCGTGAAACACATCCCGCGTCCGTGGGCGCATGACTGCGCGCATCGGACTAGGGGGGGGCAACGAGCGAGGGAAAGAACGAACCTACTTTGGTGAGACCGGACGAGGAAGACCTGGGGCGTATATAAGTAACTACTTATAACTAAAAAGACGAGATGACGCACCGAGTCGATAGGAGGGACGCCGTCGATGCGCCCCAGCGTCCAAAGATCGACTTGACGGGGGCAGGGACGGGGCGGGCGCGGGCGCGGCGTCGAAGGCGGGGGCGAATCGGAGGTGCTCGCGCTCGCGCCGGACGCGGATTCGGACCGGGGCGTGGGAGAGGCGGCCCGGAGGCGCGAGCGAATCTTGCTTCGTCGGCAGCGAGGCCGACGACGACGAGGGGGCGTGGGCGTCGAGGCCGGCGGGGAAGACGGTTTTGTACAGCTTTGTGAACTTTCCGTGGGCGGCGTTGAGGGCGTACATGCATTGGAAGTAGCCCATGTATGATTCACTGGGGTTTGTTAGTTACTCGCAGGAAATGAAAGAATGGAAAGGAAGGAAGGAAGGAACGCACGAAAGCGCATGCGTAAACGGCGTCGTGTCCGCCTCGAATGCGGTCCGTGCGAGGGCGATTTGGTTGGTGGTCGAATCCGGTGTTGGCAGAGGCGAGGATCGCGGCGGCTCCTGTGGGAAGAGCGAGCGCGGGAGTCGTCAATGTCGTCATGCAAGGCGGTCGGCGATGACGCGAGCTGCGGGCTCGTCATTGCGGGAGACGACGTTGAGAGAGAAAAGCAATAGGTCTTACGTCACTGATCCGGCACGTCAAACGCACGCGTGCCGACATGCCGGGCGTCAAGTTCGACTGAAAACTACACTAGTTCGACGACACCGCAACGACACCGCAACAATTTCAAGAATACATCAGAAACCGGCGCCAATTGAATCCACCCAGTTTTCACTGCTATCAAAAAAACCTAAAAATCTTATACCCCGGGAAATGCCGCCGGTGGGATTCGAACCCACTCTTGCTCTCACTTCCCATCCTAGGGACTCAATATATACAAGGAGCATGACCACCCTGGGTCCACAGCAGCTTGAATTACAAGGACATTGCAATGATATTCATCGAACCATCGGAATACACGGTTAGTTTCGGTCAACCTCACCCGGTACCCACTTCTTGCCCGACCATCAAGTCCAAGCTGAATAATCACCTTCTTGCTCCTTTCCGTTCCACGGAATAAAACAGGCTACTTATGTGTATACTAGCGGATTTCTGTGTACTACAAAACCAACGCCAGAAAAAAAAATATCCATTCTGGGTCATGCCGCCGGTGAGAGTCGAACCCACTCTTGCTCTCACTTTCATGACGCCAGCATATACGAGGAGCACGACCTCCCTAGGTCCACAACGGCTGGGATTTGAAGGACAAGTTGTTGAACCGTGTGAATGTTGATTTCGCCCAACAATCTACATAACCCTCTTGCTCCGATCCGCCGAATAGAGCAAGATGCTTGCACAATAGCTTCCTGAATAAAACATTCACCATGGGTGATGCCACTGGTAGGACTCGAACCCACATTTTGCTCAGATCTGGAACTCATAGTTTAAGATTGGAGCACGATCTACCAATGATCCACAGTGGCTTGAATACTGTCAGTACGAAGGAATTAGTATGCACCCTACTGCCTCAAAATTCAAATTCAAATTCTCAATGCAACTCATCTCTCAGATTCCTCGTTCATAAACGTGGCTCCTCTCACTACTATAGACGGTCTGGAATCCCCAGTTAATATTCGAACTCAACTCCCCCTCCAAACTCCTTCAAATGTCCCGGCATTCAAGTTCAACACACAAAAAAATATCTGGTTGCGATAGCACCACTGGTGGGATTCGAACCCACTTCTTGCTCTGGATTCCAGACATACCCCCAGGTTCCACAATTCGAGCACGACCTCCCTGGGTCCACAGTAGCTTGTATACTACTGGGTGAGGTGAGTTCTTGAGGTTGGATTTGGTTGACATTCCCGTGTCTCACCTCCCCGGACATTGAATTCAACCACATTGGAAGGAAGTATCAACGTATTCTTCACCTAAATTCAGAGCTATCGCGATCAAAAGAAAAGTCCGCTTCCCAGGCACACCGCTGGCGGGACTCGAACACACTCCTCGCTCAGATCAGGACGATTGATGAACCATGAGTAGAGCACGATCAACCCACGATCCACAGCGGCTTCGCGGTAAGTACAAAGTCACCCATCAAAGGGTTTGAGAATTAATATTTGTTTGTAAATCAAAGATCCTTTCCCGCGTTCGAGTCGAGGCATCCCTCTTCTATGCTCGGCCAGCTGATATACAACCTCAACCCCCTTCCACTCTTCAAAGAATCGTGCCGGCATTCAGGTTCAACATATCAAAAAGAAAAAGTCCCAACAGAACAATGCCACCGGTGGGACTCGAACCCACTTAGTGCTCTGGATTGTGTTGTCATGCTCAAATCACAATTTGAGCTCGATCCCCATGGATCCAGTGGCTTGAATATATGGGTGAGGACCTGTGAGGTTAGCTACGGTTGGACTCCATTGACATTCGTGTCTCACGTTGTATTTAATGAATCAGAAGGAAGTATCCAAAACCAGAGTTACTGCGACCAAAGGAACAGCCCATCTAGATAAAAAAACCTTCTACACTCTTTTAGGAGTACAACGATATGGCCCCGGCAATACGGACCATGACACCAATGCGCAAGATCATACACTCGAGGAGACGCTCCCCAAGGTAGAATGCGCCGACGCGCGACGCAGCCCGCCGCGATGCACAACCTGCCGCGATGCACAACCTGCAAGGAACGAAGGAAGCCAAAAAATAGATATCGAAATCGAGCGGCGAATGAATAGATGAACGAAATCCAATCTTGAGTATCGTATGGTGTATCGGATTCGAAATGAGTATCGTATTGAATTGTATTCAAACCGAGTCGCTTGACTTGCGGCGAAGAACCAAATCCACAAAAGCCGAAAAAAAGGGTGTCCCGAGGAGAAGGCCACAACAGAGACAAAACAAAAAAAAAAAGGAGGCGAACCCAATTCACAATAGCCGAAACGAAAGGGTGTCCCGAAATAAAGGCCAGAAGAGAGACAAAACAAAAAAAAGGATAGGAAAAGAAGGATAGGAAAGGGACACGACGCACTAATTTTTTTTTGAAGGATCGGCACTACGACACGAAGTTGGAGAGGCCGTATCCTGGAGTGGGATCAGTATGAGGGTTCGCGCGAGGTAGGCAGGATGAGGATGGGGAGGGTGAGACCGGGGGAAGGAACGAAAGCAAGGACGAACATCGAACGTCGGATGCCGAACGAGCGTCGAATGGAAAAAATGAAGAACGAACGCAAGAAAGATGGACATCAGGAGGGAACGCAACACGTGCACATCCGCAATCCGCAGAGTCCAAAACGTAAACGCGAATCAGCAAGTAAACGTCAAGGTAGAGTGTGGATGATCCTCGAACGAAGAAAAGCCAGCAATGTTGGCGTCAATACAGCCTGAGCCAGTGTCGATGCAACGTCCTGAAGTCGCTGTAACACCTAACGAAGCTCGTCGTGACGCGTCGTGCAGCCCAATATGCACATGGTCAACCGCGCGACGCACGAGACAAAGCCAGAAGATACGGGGAGCAGTAGGTGGGAAGACAGACAGACGAGACTAACATGCCGCTGTCTCACGGACGAAACACCGATGTCGATTGGATAGAAAAAAAAGAACAAGAGAGAAGAAGATAGAAAGAAGAAGAAAAGAAAGACGAAAGAAAGGAAGAATAAAAGAAGAGAAAATTATAACACAATCCACATGGCAACGGCGGCGCAATGTATGACGTCCGAAATTGGGTGCACAACGCAAAAGCCACAGGTCAGCTGGCATAATCATCCTCGATCCAGCCTGCGCTCAATAGACGGAGTGATGTCAATATCGATGTCATCGACGTATGTAACAGAGCGAACTGAAGGGAGGGGCGTCCCAAGGGGGTCCAACGATAAGCAATTACCATATGGGGTAGGGTGGGTGGGTCGGGTCCCGACCACCAGAAAATAAAATTATATGCAATTTTTTTTCCAGTATATCAAGCCCAGGGACTGCAAAACATACTCCAGCACACTTTTAACACCTTTTATGAACCTTTCTACACCCATGTAGCATGATTCAAGCCAGACCAGAGTGAGATCAAAGCGGGCCGACCAACGTACAGCACCAAATATATACAAGTGTGTCAAACAATTTCCATCGATGCCGCTGGGACAAGCAGATGGCCGAAGAAGGAGGTGTCGCGTTCCACTGCTTGTTGTAGAAACCTTACACTGTGGATGCGCACCAAGAAACAGGTCGTAGATCAAACTGAGATACATACAAGATACATAGTGCTTTACTTGGTTCCTTGTGATTTCTTTTCGGCGGGCATGCCGACTCGACACCTCAAAGAGCTTATTTTATGTTCCAGAGACCTCAGGAATCAATCACGAATACTTCCAGCGCTTTGCCGAAAATGCCGTTCCCAAAAAGGAAATTTCCCACGGGGAGGTAGTGGGTCAAGCGCCCCGAGGGCCCAGAAAGAAAAATTGTAGGTGATATCATTTTTTCTTATCGTTGGACCCCCTTGGGGCGTCCCGACGCAGCGTACGGATAAGGCATCGTGCGGCAGAGACACACCCATACCCACACCCACGAGCAGAGGGTCGACGGCGCGATGCACGGACTCAGGTGTACGACACGACGAACTTAGGTGTACGCGACGGCGTTGATTTGAGTGCTCAGAACCGAGGGTGGAAACATCCAACTGATATCAACTCCAAATACCAAGGTCAATGTATCAACCTAGAACAGACGAATCTGTTCCAGATCAAGCCAAAGACGAAGATACGAAAGATACAGTGTACGTTCCAGTGGTTTCCGACGAGTGTCAGTCCCAGATTCAGTAGGGCTTCAACCCGTCCGTTAAACGGGGACGGCCGTCGAAAAGACGGCCGTTTTTCCCCACGGGGCGGGTCTACCCGTCCGTCGAAGGCAGGCACAGAGCCTCAGGACGGGCGGGTCCCGTCCGTCCCGCCCGTAACGGCTGTTTCGACGAGTGTGGAGGAAAGCATGAGTGAGAACATTCTCGTGGTGATAAATGAACCTGTACACATGCATTAATTAATTCACATCTATCTCAACTTGGTTGCTTCTTCACTGCTCTGTTGCGGGCGTGGAACACGCAGTCTGACCGCCACAGACATCAAGGATCACACGGAACAGTGATGAAATCAACCATCAACGCGGGTGCAGACCTATCGGCATACGATGAACACCGCCTGAAGTTTATGTTCCCCTGCTACTCGCACAATTGAAGAGAAAATGATATATAAACCCTATTCTAACTCCGCTCAGGCCACACAACACAATGACTCTCGAAAACCTGTCGGACCCGTCAAACGGGCGGGGACGGGTACACCGTCAACGGGTTGACCCGTCCCGCACCCGTCCCGCCTCAACTCAACATCAGGTCGGCAGACGGACGGGTCAAAACCCGCCTGTCCCGTCCGTTGACCCGTCGAAAAGACGGACGGGTTGAAGCCCTAAGATTCAGTGCTTTTGATAAGATGATTGGGAAAGTTTTATGATTCAAGAAGTTGTCGGGCGAACAGTCGTGCTTGATATGCAAGGAACGAGTGAATCCTGAAAGGACCACTAGATCCGAGCACCAAGAGACGAGATAGTTTGATAATAGATTGAGGGAACCGAAGTTCCAAACATTCCGAAGAACTAGTGTTGTGGTACCCTGAAGGTACACTCAGACACAAGGCTTGATAGGGTCGTCTTTGGACAGTGTAACACGTATCGGACTTGAAACAGGATAGGTACACATGAAACACAAAACACAGATGACCTTGAGGGCGACATAGAGCATATCTTGCACGACGCACTAGCAGAACACGGACAGAACACAGGGAACGGATGCGCACCCCGAAGGTACACTCTGATACTGGACTTGGTTGGTTCGTCTTTGGACGACGTGGCGCGTATCGGACTTGACACACGATAGGAACACACGAAACACACAATGTAGATGGCTTTGAGAGCAACTTGACGTGTATCTTCTTGACACACAATGGGAACACATGAAACACACAATGTGGATGGCTTTTGAGGGCGACTTGACACGTATCTTCTTGACACGCTACCCGAAACGAACGAAACACAACACACTGATGGCCTTGAGGGCGACTTGACGCGTACCGATCGGAACGACACGCAAACAGACAGTTTATACGTCCCAAGGACGATTTGAGTACAACTGGACCAACCAGTACGAGCTGTTTATACGTCCCAAGGACGATCAAGGTACAACCAGGTTGCCGGTACAATAAGTGTTCATTGGAACAGTGTAGTCTTCATCAGAATGTCTTCATATAACCACACAATATAACCAATGATATTCGAAACCACAAAACAAAGCTTGTGGACTCCGAAGACCGACAAGAACATCCCTTAGGCGCAAGGCCAAGG